CTGAACATGAATGCATGCACCCATGGGTGTGCATAAAAAAAGAACCCGCATGTATTCGCGCATTTGCGTGTATATGTTTGCATATGTGATCTTAAAGGGACTGGAGATAATCTGGAGGCTTCGGTATCTGTGGGAAAGCCCATGAACTTATGACACGCACACAGCTTCTCTCTCTTTTCAGGAGACAAGCTCCAGGGCTATGAATCAAATACTATCCTCCATGGGTCTTTCAAGTAAAGCACACGAATGCCCCATTTCCTACACGGCGAACATGAACCGTAGTAACTACCCCAGGCAGTCTGGAAACAACTCGGAGCATTCCTAACTGGATACCTCATACTGAACATCATTTTCAAGCCTGCAGAGCCGACAGAATAGAGCAGGGGCTTTTCAGCTGCTTACAGCACTGCTGTCCTCCAGCTTCTTCAGGGCAGGCACATTTAAGTTATCTCCCCCCTCACAAAGGAAGCCATCCCAGACCAATTTCCCCAAGCCCATCCCTTCTGCCTTACCCGCCCCAAGACATCCCCAGCATATCCCTCCCCCTGCTTCAGTGCCAAGAAGCACCTTCCCGTCAGCTATACCTCGTGACAGGAGCACCACAGAAATCCCTTGAAACAAACATTTCTACAAACAAGAGACCATTGTGGATTTGTGCTCTTTACCATTAGCTCTCCCCCACAACATGCTCAGATCCCACATGCCACTGCAGAGTTGTCAGGGCCAGGTTTAGTGCTCTCCCCACCTTACATAATAGTGAGTGTGACTGCACATACCTCACATACCTGGACCTCTGTAGTTCCACAGCAGGGCCAAACTCTTTATTGTGGGGTCGAGCATAACCCTACAGCTTTACCATGGGGTTGGATTCTCTTCCTAGGCATTGTCTGAGTCTTTCTGCCTCTGAAATCCTGCTTTCCATGTGCCTGTGGGTATAAAATGCTAGGTGCGTTATTACTAGAGGAGAATCACACTGATCCCATGCTATGGAGAGGATGCAGAGACCCAGGAGCTGTCAGAGATTCAAGCCAGCAGACGTTGAGTTGCAGAGCTGAGCGCTGTACAGATGCACCACCATGCTAGGGCACTCTGCTTCCAGCCCCCAGCCTGCAGTGTGCCCTCCGTGAGGCTGGGAGCTGGCAGCAGGGGAGAGATGCTACAAGGCTCTCAGTCCTTTAACATGGGGCTCTTCCTCTGTGTACCTCTGGATTTCAGTCTCTAGGGTGTCGATGCTCTTGGTGGCGTCCTGCATATAAAATCTGCAGTCATTCCTTTTTTGTTTCTGCTCTTTACAAAGAAGGAAAGCTCTTCAGGGCCATGTGTGCTCCTCGGTCTTGGTACAGCATCTATCACAACAGGGTTTGCTACCAGCCTTGCTTTTTCTTGCTGCTGTTGTGATGCAACATGGTATAACACCACACATTCTGAGTCACCAACACTTTCCAGACCATCACGTGCTGAAAACTACCTCTGTTCCCTCCAAAATCCTAGCTATTGCTTTTTGGTATGCTACATAAACATATGATGTTCTGATTAAACTAAGAGTCCAAAACATTGCATTTCTTATTTCAGAATTCTTACTAATTTCAGTTAATGCATAACAAGAAAATGTACCTTTATTTAAAAAAAAAAAAAAAAGGAGCATACTTGTGCTTAATTGTTATTCTAATTATAAGTTCTGGAGTAGTGTAAATTTTTTCCCTTGGCATTATTATGAACCTCATTTCCTTACAAAGTCCAGGATAAACAATTCCAATATATTTTGTTTTAATTATCAGGGTTTAATGGGGCATAATGAGACTATGTTGAGTGGCGCAGAAAAAAATAATTTAATGTGTGCAAAACTACTGAGTGCTCCTAGCTTGACTGTGCATATTTCACCTATTGTAGGGCAGCACTATGTTAGCTAATATTCAGCGTGCCCATCATTTATTTATTAATCATACTAGCTTTTCAATAGAAAATTTTCCTTTTTTTTTTTTCCTGGCATCTGAAACAAGAAGAAACCCATTAAGATATTCTGGAAAAAAAAGACAGTTCTCTGAGTTGAGCAGCGAAGGATGCAGCTGATACACACAGCTGATGGTGCTGGAAGCATTTGTCATGTCAGGGACAGAAGACGAGTGTGTTGGATGCAGAACCTGCCTCAGCCAGTCCGTTCCAAATGCAGTCCTTCTCCCAGTGTCATTTGGCAGTGAAAACTTCTGGCTTCAGTTCTTAGGGCCCCTACCAAAAGAAGCAGAGATAACACCAGCTGAAGTCACCAGAAATTACTTTGCTGGACTCTCACTGTACATACATTTTCCCACTCCCAAGGTGTGGTTCCTCCAGATTTAAAACACTACAGATACTTCTGCAGTGAAAAGTGCAAACCAGGAGGCTGGGAAATAAACCCGTAAAGTGAGATTATGATCCTTTATGCTTCCCAAGGCCCCTTTGCCAATGGCACAGAATCCAATGGCTGGGCGTGGTGATGCAGCGGTTAGCATCACCCTGCTACCAGATTTATATTCCACTTTGCCAGGGTGACCATATAGCAAAATCAAAACACCTTTATTTTTTTCCCCCTACGCAGAAGTTTTCCATAGACAGAGGAAGATTTTGGCCATTTGTCTGGGAATTCTGAACACGAGGCAGAGTGGTGATGATGATCTGTTCTGCAGAAAGGATGAACACTTTTGTTCTGCCGCGCTGGACACATGCAGCAGGGTTGAAACACTCAGTCGTACTGGAGTCCCTGTGGCTGTGCCACACAGCTCACACACCACCAGTTCAACATGTGGTCTGCTGGACGGAAATACAGGAGCCCTATCACAGTCTGTTTCCCTGGCTTGGGGGAATCAAGCCTTTTGTCCATAACAGAAATGAGTTTCCTGAACACTCCACTGCCTGTTCCAGCCTGGACCGAGCACCAAGTCCTTTGTCTTAACTGCTGTTCCCAGCAGCAACACCTGCTCTTGGAGCTGTTCTGACAGCCGAGTGTTGCTGCTCCGCTGGTACTTACAACAGCCTCTGCAGCCTTCCAAACAACGAGGCAGGGAAAAACCCTTCTCTCCACACTGACCCATGCATGCCATCTTTTCTTTCTAAATCCTTGCCTTGCTCCAGATCCTCTGCTCCACCCATTCCAGGCCATAGTTCCAATAATCACATGCCTGGCCTACACATATGGGGTGCAGCCTTCTCATCCATCTATTGTATCTGTGAATGACAGTATTTCTTTTGTCCTGGCTTTGTAACTTAGTGAAATTTTCACAAAGGCATCCCAAGATATTACAACATATATATAAAAAAGGCCTTAGACACCAAAAAAACTGAAACCATCTCAGGTATGTTAAATTCAGGGCCTCCATGAGGTAGGCTTTGTTACAAACACCACGTGACGAACCTCAAGGGCTGTAATCTCTACGCCAAACTCAAGTGAGAGTTACAAGAAGCTTCAATGTGAGTTTCACTTCAGGAATAATTACTGGATCTTCCCTGAAGGGAAACACATCTATTCTGCTTATGCATTATACTCCTTGACATGGAGTCAGAGGACTTGATACAGTGCCCACCAAAGCCATGCGGAATGTCCTCTCTTCTGGAAAAGTATTTGATTCATGACTCTAGGAAGGATGTTCAAATATAACACAAAAAACCAGACCAATGTTACATTACATTTATTTGAAAATTAACATTTTATATTACAGATTAAGTTAATATACTCCAAGTGTCTGGGTTTTAAATAGAATAAATTTATTACAGACATCAGTATTTACAGAAAGAAAAACATTTACATAAATATTTTTTTTTTTAATCTCATTGGAGTAAAAAAAAAATCCTCCATAAAGTTTCTACCCACGGGAGATGTCATGTTCTGTGAGAAGTCAGCCTCCTTCAAGGATTAATGGAGACAAGAAACCTAACCAGGCTAAAGTTACAACTCAATGAGTTGATTGAGGACTGCAATGGGCTGGTTACCTGCATTAAATTATAGCAAGACTGAAAGACCTCAGGGGGCCCCTTTTAAGTCTATGCCCTAGTCTTCAAGAATAGAAGGGAATCAGTGAGTACTTTCCATCAGTCTTGCCTCAGACCCAGGACTAGACCAGCATCCAGCATGTTCTCATGGACCTCCAAAGCTTAGTGGTCTTCTTTCTTCCTGCTAAAATATGGGGATTCTGACCCAAGCTTAGGATCCCATCATACAGCCCCTGTAAATACACAATCTTTGCTGCCACACAGCTTAACAGCCACAGCAGACCACAGTGGAAGAGAATGATGTTACAAAGAGGGGGACTGGCTGACGCTTCATCATACAGAGGTGCAGCCCTGAGTCGGAAGCTAAGTTTGCTGATTCCCAGACAAATACTGACCAATGTGTTCCCTTGGACTGGCTAGCAAGTCCCAGGGGGACTTACAAGGAGATCTTTGCATTTGGTAGAGCTGCATAAACAACAGGGGGAAGAAGTGCATTTCCAGGTAATGCACGAGCTGCAGACAGTAGAGGCCTCTGCGATTAGCTACATGCAAACACTTACCCTGAAAGCCCTATGAAGGAGTGTACATCCCCACTGGATCGTGCAGTCAAAGCTGAATAAGGCTGTGCTGCTAAGAGACCTGCACCCTGCCCTGGATTGAGGCAGGATACCATGCCTGTAAAATCATAGGAAATTCTAAGCCTCAATATACAGAATAAGACCTTAATTTGATTGCTCAACTTTTTATGTTTCAATCTCTTCACATAGCAAGTTCCTGTTTTTAATGATTTCCTCTGGTGTACTGGCACTCAAAGAGCTCTCCGTGCAGGTTAGCATACCCTCCAGAAGCCCACAGCTGTTCGAAAGCCAGCCTTAAACACCTTTCCATGCAGCCATGGTGAGGGGAGAAGGATTTGTAGCACAGCTGTTTCTGTCTCTCGTGCCCTGCAAACTGAAATGCCATCTCCCTTGGTATCTTCAGTGGCAAACAGGGACTGAATCCAGGTGCACATCAAACACAGACAAAAAAAGGTCCTGCTAATGACAACCACACCTCGTTGCCACCATGTCTTTATAATTTTTAAGGACCACGTTCTCTTTGTCATCAAAGTAGAGAAGATTGAGGGATTTCAATTCATCTGGCACACAGCAGGGCGTGCTGACATCTTGAGATAGTTTAAGTGTGTGGACTATGGACTGAACTGTAGCATGGTTTGTTGCATTTAGACTTTCCCCCAAGGGGAAGAGACAGGATCCTCTGCAATAAAATGCATTGTATCCACTTGGGTAAATAATCCATCCTGACCAGCCAATAGCACGGAAATCAACGTAGAGTTCCCTTCGATGACATGCTGTTACTTGGTTTTTGGCAGAAGGGACTGCAGCAGCTCGAGGTCTCCTGCTCACGTTTGCATTGCTGCTTTCGATGATCCGAGTTTCACGAGGCACGCGTGAAGCATCATTTTTGGCAGGGTTCATCTCTGGTTCTGAAAGGAAGTTGTGTGTTAATCTTTTGAGAAAGAAATTCATTTCCTAGGTACGCTATTCTGCATGAAAGTCTATTCCATAGATCTACATCAAAATCTTCAGAGCAGATTTTAAAATTACACTTGAACTGTGAAAGTACCAGAAGGGGTGTGTATTCAATTGCCATTTCAGCCATATTTCAAAAACTGCCAAATTCCCTGAAAGGCCCCAACTCAGCAAAAATACAAAGGAAAAGCTCAATAATATAGTAAATACATTCAGTGAACTCCACAGGCTCTTTTCAGGGCTGAATCTGGTCAGAATGATATTAACAGTCTTCATATGGCCACTCCTACAACACAGAGCAGGCTGAGCAGTGCTAACAGAGGGTGGAGATCACAGCTGCTTTCTCTCTCCAGTATTCTCCTCCCAGGAGCTATACCCATACACTTGCAAAAAAAAAAAAAAAAAAAGAGTGTGTTCCTGTAAAGCAATATTTTAAAAAATATTTTTCAATTTTCAGATCTGAATAAACTAACACTAGGTTTATGGAACTCTGCTAGAGAACAAAGCTTACTGACACTAGGTTTACTTTCTTAAAGTATCTTCTGAGAAGCCTTGATAAATGTCCATGAGACCTGAAGATCCATGTACAGAGGCTGAAAACCACTGATATACAGGCTGGTAGAAGAAGAGTCTGTGCAGGTTCATTGACAGCAAACAACAGGCAGGCCTAGGGAGTGTCTTCATTGAGAAATGGGTATTAATTTCTTAATCCTGGCACATACAAAGCTTGATGCTTATTAAATTGGCATCTAGGATTTCACTATGAAAATTTTCTTTGGAAAAGAAAAATAAACAGGCCAGCCTCATTTTTGTTTTTAATCAATTTAATCACCTACTTATTAATATTGATGCCAGTCCTACCTAGTTTATTTCTAATATGCAAATACGATCGTTTACGAGAAAACCCTGCAAACCCAAACCAGAATTATTTTTGTCCCTCCTCCTAGCTTTTGCTCTTTGCATTTATCAGGCTCTAAAATCCAGCTTTAGTTGGTTTTACTGGAAGACCAGTGGGAGAGGTAAGACACTGTGTTTTGTAACTTAAGAGATAAGGGCGTTGCCTTTAATGAAAGCAGCCTTTAGTCACAATGCTAATTAGTCAGTGAAGTTAAATACCTGCTTAAAAAACAAGCCAAGGACAGAGAGGTTTAAATGGCTTATTTAACAACCTCTTCCACTCTTGAAAACTGCAGTTAATAACAATACTTACAGTTGCTTTACCAGCATTTTCCCAAAGTTTGCCAGGTCACCGAGTTTTTTTTAGCATAAATCGAATCTGCAACTTTCATGCAAACTTCACCACCACAAAAATAGTATAAATAGTAATTAAAAAAACCCAACCAACCAAACAAAAAAACCCCCACTTCCCACCCTTTACAAACAAAATAAACCAGATTCGCCCTAGCCTTTACGAATATTTCCTGCAAACACAGTTTTTCTGAGGGGAGAGGCAACTTAAGATACTGGGTGTCCTACTAGCAAGAACTATCAAATCAAACTGGTCAGTGACAAAGCTGAACCTGTTCAACACTGCAAGTAGATACTGAGATTAGGTATACGTGACTGAGATTATACATGAGGCAGCAGAAGGTAACAGAAGATGAACAGGGACTTCATATTCTAAACCAGAACTGCTGCTCTTGTGTGAACTTACTTGTGGAAGATGGTACAAAGCTGGCAGACCTTCGTTTGTTACTGTTGGTGAAGAGGACAAGGAGAGCATTTCTACTCTCCTGCAAAGTGCCCTGGCTCTTAGCAAACTTAACCAGGTTGTGCTCAATTCTGTTGTTGAATACATGTGTTGTAGTTAGCAAAAAGCCATGGTTGGAGCTGCTGTTTCCAACCCACTTGGAAACCTGGAAATGAAAGGGAAATGAGAAACTACTGTTTCAATATTCTTAGTACAGCATTATGATCAAGCAATGTTTATATTAGGAAAAGGGAACAGGCAACAAGCGTGTGAGAGCATAAGAACATATATTATGACAGAAGTGAGGTAACTGTATAACTGAGACTCAATTGAGTTTAATATTTAAACCAGTAATTCAACATTTAAAAATACAAAACACCATATGCATTTCCCAAAGCTACATTTACAGCAAGATAATTAATTTCAGAGAATTTACTAGTAAATAAATGAGTCTTGGAGTTAAAATTAACATCGAATAGCAATCATAATAATAGAATAATATGAGCTCTCCAGACTTCCCATACCATTAAAACTCATTTCAATCTAACAAACATGGCATTTGAAGAAATTAACTCGCAATCAAGCAACTTGCCTTTATCTAATTGTTATAATTACAGACTAATAGATAAGGCCAGGCCATTCTCAAGCAAGGCTATCATGACTTAAGATGCAACCCAAACAATCATCCAAGCATCCTGTTCAGTATGATCACAAAGCTCAGGCAATGAAAAACACTGCCTGAGAGTACAGATTTAAACCCAGGAAACTGTATGTTTTAAACCACATTTGTTTTGTTTTTATTGTATAGAAAGTAACATACCATACCATACTGTTACAGTTTAAGGATATTTACAAAACAAATCCTGAAACTAACAAATAAAAAAGTCTACAGAAGAAGTTAAACAATCCAACCATGATAAATTCCAGAACCACAACGTTAAAGCACGCTGCGCGTCTGCTCTGCAGTAATGTCACCAGAATAAAAAGGAGAAATGAAAACCTACTCTTAGCACACAATCAATGCCATCTCCTTCGGCAGCCTAAGGACTAACGTGTTTTAATCACAATGACGTACTTAGGCTGATGTTCCTCCTATCGACCAGGTTTGGGTTACTCAATTCTCATCATGCCCGTGCTGCTAGCAGCATATAAACATTTCTCCTTCAATTCAGGTAGCACCAGGTGCACTTTTAAGTGTAGAGAGAAAGCTTCTCCCTCTGCGGCTGTCCTTCAGTTTGAACTGACCACAAAACCCAGCATAAGGGCAATGCTCGAGTTATGAGCAGTCATTTTAAAAGTTTAGAATTAAAATTAAGTCAGAATTCTCTGCTTACTGTCTGCGTGACGTTGAATACTTCCCAGCCTTCTGTGTACAGGGACAATAATCTGGATGTAATAAGATGTTTTTTTTGTGGCTTACTTCCTCTCTCCAAGAGCTCATACACTTCCACCTTGATGAGAGCAATACAACAAAACAGTAAGAAATGAAACCGTATGTTTTTTCCAGTAAAACAAGGAGGATGAAGATCATGCACATTTCTGCCACATCACAGCTGTAAAACTGTACAATCATTCTAAACCAGGTGAAAAGTAGTTTTTGGACAGTTTAAAAGAAAAGCAAGTATTGCTACATATATCTACTTCGAGATGTATTCAGAGGCAGGATACTGGGCCGTTTCATACTATAGAAAAATATCCCGACCCTTTTCTTTCTATTTTGAGTATCTAACAACATGAAAGTCTTCTGTTCCTCCACGTCCTTGTCTTCAGGTTTGCCAAAAGTCCAATCCGACCTTTTGCGACAGGAACAGATACAATCAGAGTCCTCACCTCCCCTATTTTCCTATGAATCCCTGATTGCTATTATTATTTTTTAGAGCTGCTCAAGCAGATAAATTTCGATTCTAATTTCAAAACATCTCAAAACCCAGAAAAGCACGGTATGTTTTGAGATAGGTCTGACATCCGCATCTTTAGGGAGAGCTCACTGTCATACCGCGCAAAGGACAGTATATGACAAAGCCAAAACCTTGCGTCAACTTCTTTGTATGCTGGAGGCAAAGAAAACGTGAGGACAACAATCAAAAATAAAGCAGGTTTATGTGGTAAGAGGTTGCACTCCTCAATTTCATTATTATTATGGATGAAAGTACAAGTAAGTGTTTAACTGACCGATTGTCTCCCCACTTACTTTGCAAAAGTGTTTCACATCAGACCTTCTAGACACATGCGTCCTCTTCAGCTTGAAGACCCTGAACTCGGCTTTCAGCATCTGCTCGCCCTTCTCCATCGCGCTGATATCGAAGTAGAAGTGGTACTGGTCCACGGTAACTGGAAAACAGCTTTCTTTAGCAACGACGCAAGACCCCGCAAAATAAGCTGTACCCCCGCGTTTTCAACCGCAGCTGCTGGGTCTGCTCAAATCTACGGGGACAGGCGAGGC